ATATCACGTTCCGTGGTATGCCCGTTGGCATCTTTCGGGTTACCTCGACGTCCCTCACCCAACCCGTGGCAGGCCTACGGCCTCCACCCTTGCCGACAAAGATATCCTCATACTGTGGGTCCGAAAAAGACACCGTATATGTTAGTGGATCTCTACCATGCAGCCGTCGTCTGTTGCCCTCGCCTTTACCTTTGCCTTGTTAATATAAGCGCGCGTCGGACCTTGCGTCGCGCCCGCCGAACCGGTTTCTTCATGCAACATCTCCATCGTCGTCTACGTGTCTGGAAACCCCAAAACTAACCATTGTGCTTGCTGTTCTCCGGCACGGTGCGCAGGCGCATTCGAGAAGTCTTTGATTCTGGCGCCGTCGTCTGACGATGCGTCGGCATCTGTGCCCGAGCCGAGGGGAGACTAGACTTCGGGCTCCGCGGGCTGGCCCGCCGAGTCCAATTCGGGCAGTGGCGCGGGCGGCGGCCGCCGTCGCCGACGGCCCCCTTATGTCGAGCCGAGGAATCTTGCAACCCCGAGGGCTGGCCACCTTGTTGGCTTAGTGAAATGGTGGCCTCGTTCGGTTGTGGACCGTCGGTCCAGACTGTGCTGGTAGGTTGCCCCGCGCGAGTGTCGCCGTGGAAGACATCGGCGCGGTGGCCGCGATGAAAGACGCCGCCAATGTTGCCGGGGGATCGCTCAGCAATGCGGCCGTGAGCCCTCGTGCGTTCAATGGGGGAATCGAATTGATGCTGTGTCCCTGGCACGCGGTGGTTTAATGGTTGCAGTAGTTGTGCGCGAGAGGTGCCGACACCTGGGCCCCTTCGCAGTGCGACTTTCAGGACTTGGAAGTTTGGGGCGTTGAACCCCGCGGCGCCCGGTCGAGGTCCGTCCTCCTGCGTGGGCGCGAAAGTCGATGAGGCCGTCCCCGAGTTAAGGTGTCTTTCGTCTTCCAGGTTCTCGAACGTAGTGATAGCTGGGAACGTTGTATAGGTTGCCCCATCGGTGTGGCGCCCGCCAGTGTTCACTCCAAAATTGATTACTGCTTGGGGGGCTCTCGTGGCGATGGTCCTTGTCAGGCCTCCGAGGCCGCGCTGCGTGGCAGCGGCCTGTCGGGGGGGAACCATGGCGCATGTGGCCGCGTTGATCCAGGCATGTGCCTCGCGAGCGTATTCGCTCACGGGCGCGTTGCCGGCTGGGCCCCGGCGACTGCCGGCAGCGCGCGCGCCGTCTGCGCCCGGCTGCGCGCGCCCAGCGACGCATCCGAGAGCGACCCGAAAAATACCAAAGATAAGCACGTCAGTCGTGGGTTGTCTGTGGTTAATATCAGACGTTGCCGTCAGCTTGCGAGGAATCGCAGGTGGCGCGCTTTCATGGCGCATGTTACCATGCATAATATCTGCGAAGAAATTGCCAATCGCGTCGCCGACAACCTAGCTATCGTCGAACTCATGCCCTTCGCCTTCTGGGCCCAAGCCATGCGCGCTGCCGCCCTCGTCGACGGAGATCTCGGCCAAGCACGCGAATCCGTCGTGGAAGTGGCAGTCAGGGGCCGACCTCCCTGGGGCGGAACCGCGTGCCATCCTGGATTCTCAATCACTGCGAGGGCGACTAGGCCGCGGGCCAGCACGAGGATGAGAACTGCCACGCGGGTAAGTCTGGACGTCTCTGCGCCCGCTACTTGCTGCTGCCCCTGCATCAGCTCGGGGTTCTGCTGCTTCTTCGCACGCCTCTGCGTGCGCCAGCTGGGGGTTGTTTGTGCGGCCCCCCACCGCGCCTGTCCCTCCTGCACGTCGCTGGTGCTCTGCTTCGTCGCGAAGGTGCGCAGGTGACTGCCCTGGTTCCCCGCGGTGCTCTGCTGGTTGCCGACGGCCCCCTGCATGAGAGTGCCCACGGAACCGTCCTTACCACCCTTGATGCACACCTCCTCCACGTTGGTGCGCCGCGTCCCGCCCTGGTCGTCGAGCTCCCTGCCGACGCCCTCCAGCGCGGTGCTGTTGCGCTCCTCCGTCTTGACTATGTTCAGGTGCCTGCCCTGGTTCTGCTTGGTGCTCTTCTAGTCCCCGTACGCCCCCTGAGCGTCGCCGTTGCTGTGCTCGTGCTCTGCAATGTTCTGATGGCCCTCCCCGACGCCGACCTCGAGATCCTCCGTCTGCGCGCCGCAGCCCGAAGCCAGGTGCGGGAAGGCAGGGACCTCCGCGAGCGGGGCGCACCCCTCAACCCTGCGCGCTGGGGAGGGGGGCCTCGCCGCCGCACCGCGGCGCTCCTGCAGCTCCGCCAGGGCCTGCTCGAGCTGCGAGATCTTCTGGCTCTGCTCGTGCGACTGGTGGGAGAGCTGCACTGCCTCGTCCTCCGTCATCTGGAATTTCAGCTTCAGCGCGCGCTGCTCCCCAGACGTGTCCGCCAGGAGTTTCTGGTAGCGCTAGCTCGCCGCCTGTAACTCGAGGACCTTCTCAGCGAGGAGCGCCGTCGTGTTTGCTTTCTCTTCGAATTTGCCTTGCCTCGCCTCGTCCTGCTCAGACCCGATGGTGCCAGAGTGGGCGTCCAGGGCCTCCATCACCTCCTGTAACAAGTCCCTGTCGGGATGGGCTGCCCAGCGCCTGCCGCCTCGCATCGCCACCTACCGCCGCGCCAGCTCTGGCTGAGCCTTGGCCAGGGCTCGGCGCCCCTCCTCAGATGTGGCCTGGCGCCCTGGGCCCGGCTTCTCCCCAGCGCCCCTGAGGCCCTGCTCGAACCCGTCGGGGACGCTGGCATCGGGGCTGTCGGAGGCCAGCAGCTGGATCAGCCGCGCTGCCTCTTCCACTGTTCTGCAGTGGGCCACGCAATGGCCATGCCGCACCGCGACGCGCTGGAGCGGCCCATGGCGGAGTTCCAAGGGCGCAGGCGCCTCCGAGTGCCGTACAGAGTGAAGAACTGGGGAAGCTGGCCCCGCCCTCTCGAGCCCAAATGGCTACGGAAGAGGAGGACGAGGAGGATGAGGAGCCTCGATCGTCGTTTCCTCCTCCTCCCGCAAGCCGCCGCTATGGGGTTCGAGCGGCCGGTGTCTGGCGCGGGTCATGTGCTCGCGGGGACACACCGCACGGGCTGGCCAGCCCGAAACGCCTCGAGGCCGTGCTTGACATCTGTGCTCGGCTTGAGCGCCAGCCCGTTTCGGGCGGCGCGCACAGGGGGGTAGGGTCAGGGTCGGGCATGTCCTCATACAGGTGGATTTCGGAGGAAAACTGAAACATACAAAAACATATTTTATATCAAACAGTACTCAGACACAATCAAGAGATCGTCTCCCAACTATGTTTGAACATCCCTCCTGTAGCGGGATATGCGTCAGCCCGTTTTTGGCGGCGCGCACAGGGCACGCCTCAATCCTCGCGCACCACCCTCGGCGTGCGCAGCTGCGGCGCGCTCGTCCCAGCGCTACGCTTGCCCTCGCCCTTGGCCGCGCCTCGAGGCTCCCAGGACTTGCCCCAGCCTTTCTCGCCGCTGGCTGAGGAGGACGTGGTCGCCCCCTTTCGGCTATGGGGGAGGGGAGAAGGCTTCTTAGAAGGAGGCTGCTTCTTAGAAGGGGTGGGCCCTACATCCACGGATAATGCCAGCGCCTTCTAAGAAGTAGGGGTGCTTCTAAGAAGCAGCCTTCCTCTCTCCCCTCCCCCCCCCTGCGCGCGGCTGGCGTTGGTGGTGATCAACGTCCAGGTCAGCTGTGCTCCCTGGTCCTTGGTCTGCGTGAGCTTCCTGCCGCCTGTATTGGAGCGGCATGCAGATCTCGGTAATCCTCAACTTCAGCTCGGCGTGCAGCTTATCGACAGCATCTGCGTCTCCAGCTTGCTGACTGGGAGCTGGTAATTACCACCTTGCTCAAGGTGGATGGGGCCCTCCACCGTATCCCACGCCTTACGCTCGCAGGAGGAACTGCACCTGGTGGTTGCACGCATCACACGGCACCACACGACCGACACGGGCCTGCCGAACCCGCCGCCGCTGCTGAAGTTCGGTGCCGGTCGCGGAGACTTACAACAACACGAAGATACAGCATTCCGTGCATGCTATCCGCACCACACCAAAGGGACCGGCACAAGTGGACCAAATGTGCGCAGGAGGAGAACGCAAGGAGACGACGGAGAAGTTTTTTTTTTTTTTTTTGAGACGACGGCGAAGGACTTGACGGAGGGCCCGCTGGCCGTGCGACGCCGGGAACTGCTTGATGCCGCCGCACCCGCCGCCGCCGCCTGGCAGGTGGACTTTCCCGACGTGCATTTTGACCGACCCGTACGCGCAGGTCGGGACGTGCCCAATGACGCCTCCGAGGAACCGCACCACGAGGTGGTCTTCATCGACGACTCGGATGCCTCCGCCCCCGACACTGGGCACGATGCACGAGCCTCGCCCGAGGTGCGAAGAGAAGGTCAATCACAACATAGACAAGGAGGAGGAGGAGGTCGGGAGACCTCGTGTCGAGCCTGAGGCTCGCTTGGCGCCGATCGGAGCTCGAAGGTAGCTGATGATAGCCGCTGCTGGCAAAGAGGAGCCCGAGTCAAATGAGAAGAAGGATTGTGGTGAAGATGACTTCGGGAATATTGGAGAGAACCCGAGGGATACCCTCCGGCGAGCGGGCTATTTCCGGAAACGGCTGTCGACCGGTCCAGGAAGCTGTGTGTGCATGGCGCTCTGGCTCTTCATTGCTCGGAGCTGTCGCGCCACTGAAAGCTTCGGGCCTACGATCTCCAGACCCCCTTTCGGCTCCACCGGCCCTTTGTGCGCCAGTCCGGTAGCCCGTCCGCGAGCCTGGCAGTGCTGCAGCCAACAGACCTCCCCCCTCCCCTCGCCTCTCCCCCGCCTCTCCCCGCCTCTCCCTCCCTCGCCATCGCTCGGGCGTCCACTGCCCGTGCATGTTCGACTTCGTGCGCTGTCTGTTTGCAGGGTGGTCCAAGGTGCTCCTCGAGGGCCCTCGCCGAAAAAAAATACACACGTCCGAGCGATGCCAAGCTCCTCCTGCCGGCCCCCCGTGCAGAGGCCACCTCCGTTCGGGAAACGTACTTGGCCCGCACCCATGGTCTGACGAAGGCGGCCAAGATGCACATCAACGGCAGCGTCAAAAAATACCTGCGCGACGGAGTGCGACGCAACGCGGGGCTCAAGACATTGGGGTTAAAAAAAACCCGGTGGTTGGCCCCGTCCCCGTCGCCTCCCAGACGCCAGCCCCCGAGGAGACACACGGCCCTCCAACTCCTCCTCCTCCTCCTCCTCCTCCTCCTCCTCCTTGTCATCATCATCATCCTCATCCTCATCCTCATCCTCATCCTCATCCTCATCCTCATCCTCATCCTCATCCTCATCCTCATCCTCATCCTCATCCTCATCCTCATCCTCATCCGCATCCGCATCCTCATCCTCATCCTCATCCTCATCCTCATCCTCATCCTCATCCTCATCCTCATCCTCATCCTCATCCTCATCCTCATCCTCATCCTCATCCTCATCCTCATCCTCATCCTCATCCTCATCCTCATCCTCCTCATCCTCATCCTCATCCTCATCCTCATCCTCATCCTCATCCTCATCCTCATCCTCATCCTCATCCTCATCCTCATCCTCATCATCATCCTCATCCTCATCCTCATCCTCATCCTCATCCTCATCCTCATCCTCATCCTCATCCTCATCCTCATCCTCATCCTCATCATCATCATCATCATCATCATCATCATCATCATCATCATATTTCCTCCTCCTCCTTCTCCTCCTTCCTCCTCCTCCTCTTTCTCCTGCTGCTGCTCCTCCTCCTCCTCCTCCTCCTCTTCCTCCTCCTCCTCTTCCTCCTCCTCTTCCTCCCTCCCCTCCCCCCCTCCTCGTTCGCCACCTCTTTCTCTGCCTCTTCCTCCTCCTCCTCCTCCTCCTCCTCCTCCTCCTCCTCTCCCCTCCACCGCCCGCCCCATGTCACGAGCTTGTGGCAGGGTCATCAGCTCGTCGTCGTGGTCGTCGTGGTCGTCGTCGTCATCGTCTTTCTGAATCGGCGCCACTAGCCGCAAGGCTGTCACAATAGAAAGCGGCTGGTAATGGGGATGATGAGGAGGGGGATGGACGGGGGGGAAGGGCGAACAACACGCCGTCGCCGCTACTGGATGGCACAAGCCTCCCATCATGTGGTGGGAATCCCTGAGCTGTCCTCCGTTTCGGTACTGAATTGCCCTCTCTTGCCTCGGCGGGTGAGGTGAAGGTACCACGTCTGCAAATTGGCGAGGATTCCCCATGGGAGGTGGGAGAGACCATCGTGCCATCCCACTTGGGTTTGTGCGGCCGCAACCGCACGCGCGTTTGCACCATACGCGTCGCCGCTTGTGCACTTCAGTTCCAGCTTGAACTTGAATGCCGCTGCCAACGCCATGCCTACCCTGCCATTCCCTTCTCGTCACTTGAATCCTCTCCTCCATCCGTCTCTCCCCACCATGGTGCAAAAGGACATCGCACCCTGCCCGGTTTTGCCGGTCGCATTTCGCTTTTACCAAGCATACATCCACTTCGTTCCCCCCTCGGGGCAGTGCCCATAGGGGGAAGGCAACGTCGATGCGACTTGCATGCCATTTTCAACTGATCAGCTGGGGGAGGAGGGGGATATTTTTTTCTCCACAACGCGCGGCGGCCCACGCCGTGTCGCGCACGGCCGACGGCGCGGCCGCGGCGCCCCGCCCACGCGGGCGACGAGCGAGACCGCCCGCGCGCGACGGGGAGACGGCCCCGCCCCACGGGAAGGCGGGGAACCCCAACCGAACGGGACCGCCCCCGCGAAGGGGTCGGCCGAACGGCAGGGCCACCCGCACGCCCAAAGGGCAAGGCAAGAAAAGGACCCGGACCCGGGGACCCACGAAACGACGACGACAACGACAACGACGCGACACGACGGGGCGAAGGACCGCCAGTCCCGCCCCAAGGCGGCGAGTGCGGGGAAGGCACTCCCGCACCGCCCTGGGGGAGGCCGCGGGACCTGGCAGCCCCCCGGGAAGGAACGCCCGGGCGCGGGGGCTTGGGCCCCGAAGGCCCGGTGCCCCCCGCCTGCGCCAGGGGGCACTTTGGCCCGACACCTCGCTTATGGGGGCGCCCCTCCGGGGCGGGAGGAGTAGGAGAAGCAGGAGGAGGTGGAGGAGGAGAAGGAGGAAAATCGGCTGTTTTGTTTTAGCTCGCGGAAAGGGAGGAGGCGCCGCCTCAACGAGCTGTGGCGGTCCCGTGTGGGGTGGGCCAATCTCGCCGCGAACGCGGAACACAGGTAATATATCAACAGACGGCCACCGGTGTCAGACGGAGACTTTGATGGAAATAAACCAAAGACCCCACCAATGCCAGTATATGAGCATGCTTGAAACTTTCCAGGAAACAAATCAAGAGACATCCGCCAATGACGGGTGCCGAACATGATTGACATATATGAGCCCTACCAGAGCCAGTAGGCGAACTTGTTTGAAATATACTAGAGAACCCCACCACTTCCAACAGGGGAACATGTACCCTGCACCAGAAACCTCCACCAATGCTGGTCGCCGAACATGCTTGAAGGAGGAGGTCACTGCCACTCATCACGTTCAGAAGCCTGTAGAGCTTGTTCCACCAGCGTGCCAAGCCCCTCTTTAGTGCTAGAAAGGTCAAAATTCTTGTTGACATCATGCGTGCTCTCCCGCGCGGGCCGCCCGCCAGGGTAGATATTGAGCATGGGGACGTCGCCCTCGAAAACTGATTCAACCGGCCCGACTCGACCGATATACTCCGCTTCGGCGACCACCACGTATGGACTTACAAACAGCTGCAGCGGCCACGCGGAACGTTGACACATCTCCGCCAACGAACGCAACATCTCGCCATCGTCGTTAGACTCAAAATGAGGACTCTTAAAGCAGATCTCCCGCGCCACGCGACACTAAGCAGCACCATCATGAGGAGGGGTAAAACTACAGTGGAGAGAATTCGTCGCACCATTGCCTTTAAGCCGTGCAGGGTAATCAGCAGCAACACGAATTCCTCGTGCAAGCAATCGACCTGGGGGTGCGTGCCCATTAATAGGAGATGCGCGCGCGCTTCTCACCAAGCGTCGGTCGTCGCAGGAGGTGGGCTTGAACGTGCCGTGCCTCGGATGCGGTGCTATATAAGTTGATCCCGCACGGCATGCAATGCGAAGCGGCAATCAATCACACTGCGTATACAATGACAAATTCTACTAATGCGAACCCGTGATCACAACCATCTCGCCGCGCAAATAATACATTTGAGCATCTACTTCAAAGGGGGGGCCGACAACCTGGTCGAGATACCAGCCTTGACCTCGACAGACTCCAACAACCGCGGGTTTGGATATCTTCCGTAGCCGTAGCTCCAGGAAGCTGTGCCTCAGGCTCAGCGTAGGCCTCCGCAGCCTGGCCCCCAGGTTTTTCGTGGAAATGGAATGGCGGCAATGTGGAAAATACGGCTTTCGATGACCGCCGCCAGGCGCGCCCGCGCGTGGATGCTTGCGCCGCGGGCCAGGGCCTGCAGCAGACCACGGATCGGCAGTGCCATCCTGGTGCCAAGGATCTCGCCCCCGCCGGCGCCGAGCACAGGGTCGTCCCCATCGTGCCCTCTGGGCTGTTCTGGTGGCGCTGCGAAGATGAGGGTGCGGTGAGAGAGACCACTGGGCTCCCGATCGCCATGGTCCACAAGCTACCAAGCTCCCCAGGCTTTGCGTCAGGCAGTGGGCGAGCTGGGCCAACCGCTATGTTGACAGACTTGTCAGCCTGAAGCTGCAGCGCCGTCCAGCCGCCAGCTGCTCGCGCACCCAGCCCAGTCGAGGCGCGGATGCCGTCGGCCGCGGGAGGGGAAGCGCAACCGCGCGGGAAGAATGAGGAGGATTATGATGTTCCAACCTAATTAAGCCTTGACCACCATAAATAATTTCGAGCACCATGAGGGTGCCCAAATAGTCGAGGGCTTTCACGTGTCGGGCCCTGGGTGCACCTTTTCGACTCTGTTTCGACATTATTTCGACTTTTTCCTGGTTGCTCGAAATTATTTCTGGGATGTGGCCCTTAAATGCGACCAGCAGCAGAAGAGGGGGGGGGGGGAAGAGGGGCCGCGCGCGCAGCCGAGAGGCCCTTGGGACCAGCAGTTGCCAGACCCTCAATGGCGAATCAAAGCGCGGGAGGAGGGGGGGGAGGAGAACCGAGAGCGCTATAGTGAAGGGGCTCCAGGGCACACGAATAAATACACACAAATAACAGGATTCCCAATCTGTGCCACTATTTCACCCCCGCTTCCCACAATTTCTAATATTTTCTAGGGAATCGACGATTTATTGTGTCTGTGTGTTTCTTTCCCCCCTGCTAAAAGCTTCAAGGGTGCCTGCGCCCATCTTAAGGGCGAGGCGATCATCGGCAAAATACTAAAGACTGTGCGACTGCGAGAGTTACAGAATCTAGTAGTTGACCGGCCGCAAGCCACATCCTCAAAGTCGGAGGTGATTCCGAAAACTATCGGCCATCTGCTGACGCCAGAGGGGGTCCATGTACCCGCTTTTCTTTGCCAGCGGCCGTGAAGACGTATTCCAGCCCACTTATAATGTTCGACCGTACCTCGGGATTGGGCGCCGAATCCTTCGGCGGGGATTCGGGAAGTCCCCCCCGCTCTGATCGAGCGGACTGGGGCTCCACTGTCGAGGAATGCCCCGTCGGGCGCGGCACCGAAATTCGTGACGTTTTCGTTGCGTCGCGAAATTGGCTGCGATCTGGCCCCTCGACCCGCCCGCTGAGGGCCGACGTCGGATTTTGGCTGTGCCGGCCTGCCCGCTGCGGGGGCGAGCCTGCCAATCTGCTATCACACGACATTGGAATAAAAGGGGGCCCTCAACGCAAAACGGCCAGTCGCAACAACCATCTGCTGTATATAAGGATGAAGCCCCCTGGAAAGTAACGCCGAAACGCGGCCGATGGAAAATCCCAACTGGCCCCATGGCGGACTGTGCATGTTTGCCGTCGGCCGCATGGGTTCAGATTTGTTGCGCCTCAGACGTGGGGGTACCCCCCCGCACGACAAGAAACCATCCGTGCGCATCGACACCTCCCCCGCCAATGTATTCGGCCACGCAGCCAGGACAGACGCTAAACCACATATCAGAACCTCGCACGCTTGAGTTCTAGCTTGAACCGCCGCCGAGGGGCGGGCAAATCCTGCCCCCCCAGCAAGGCGCGCGCTTGCTTTGGTTCTAGTTTGTTGCGTCCCCGGGGTGGACCATCAGACGTCGATGTACCACTGGATTTCCTCCACGTGCTTTTCTGCACCGAGTCCACATCTCGCACTGGGTCCCGCGCTGAATCTATAACCTATGCTGGGTCCTGTTCGGGCCGCTGTCAGGAAATCCAATGGTACACAGCCCTCGCTGTCACGCGCGGCCCATAAGCCGTTCCGACAATTTTCCCGTCTGCCTGCCGTTCACGGCGCCGACCATTCCGACGAGGGGTGTGATAGACCTGCTTGCATTCCCCAAATCGGTCGGTACAAGTTTGAGCCCCTTTTTCCGGTCGGCCTGCCGCCCGCCAAGGAATCCAAGGGGGTACTGGTAACGCAGCGAAAGCAGGCAGTAGCATTAGAAGAAGGGATGACGAAAGGGACCTTCCGTCCTGGATCCCAATTCCCGCGCTCCGCTGGGAATGCAGACAAGGGGACCTCACAAATGAAACGGACAACGCGGGAACCGACCGAACTCTCAAGTCCGGAGGCGCCTTCCGTCCTGTTTCCCAATTCCCCCAAACCGCCAGCACAGATGAAACGGACAATGCTGGAACCGACCACACTCTCAAGGCCACAAGCACCCTGTCGTAACGGCGGCGGCGGGATTGACGGTGGCGCAATGAAACCTCACCAAATCATTGTGCAACCCCACAAGAATGTGGAGCGCAATCAAAAGGAACAGAAATTGGACGAGCTTCTTCTGCCACCGCCAACTCCCAGCCGCATCCACTGGGAGTGTGCAGTCGTGCGCCACTGTGCTCGGTGTGCTGGCCGTGATCGGGGTGCGCGGGGGCGGCATCGTATTCCACACGTGCGCGCCCCAACGCCAAATCACACCAGCATGCGTACCTATGCATGTGGGCAATAAACGGGAGCACGCGGCAGAGCACGTATGCCGCACGCCCTTGCCGGGTACGCGTGCACATCATTTTCACCGAACACACATGCCGAACACACGTAGTGAGCAACCGCGCCGAGCACCACAGCAAAAGCAAGGAGGTTCATTTAGGGGAGCTTATTCGGGCCAAGAAGAGGAGGAGGAGGAGGAGGAGGAGGCGGAGGAGGAGGAGGAAGAGGAGGAGCAGGAGGAGGAGGAGTAACAGGAGGAGGAAGAGGAGAAGGAGGAGGATGAGGAGGAGGAGGAGGAGGAGGAGGAGGGAAAGGAGCAGGCGGAAAGGCAGGCGGAAACGGAGGATAATGCGCAAGGGAATTGGAAGCCTCAAAACGGGGTGGAGGAGGTCTACCGGGAAAAAACATGCCCGACGATATCGCCCACGGGGGGCGATGGCTTATCCGGGGGTGGCCGCGCAAACGTTGTGAAACAAATGCCACATTGCGAAAGATCACGACAAGAGCCTTGCAGCGCATCTCCCTGTGCCATTTTCCGAGCCTGAACCATCCGTGAGAATCTGGGGGCCCCAGGGCCCGAAACCAGGCAACACCGGCCGTTGCAGACAAAACTGCTACGCCCGGATCTCTGGGGAGGTTGCCTCTCCGGGTGGACGAGCTGGCCGAGACGCCGCCGAAAAAGCAGGTCCGAGTCGCCCCCTCTTGGCGGCGCGCGCAAAGGGGGCTGGGGGAGGGGGGAAGGCATCCTGGAAGGAGGCTCCTTCTGTGAGGGCGTCAACCCCACATCTGCAGACGAGGCCCGTGCCCTCCGAGAATTATGGAGTGCTTCGAAGAAGCCTTCCCCTCTCCCCCCCGCCGCCGTCTGCGCGCGGCTACAGGAGGAGAGCAGCGCCATCAACGTAAACTCTTGGCGCCCCGCGCGGCCTTCTTGGATCTGCGCTGGGCTCGCCCCCCTGGCGCGCAGAGCGTGCCGAGGGCGGCGCCGGAGGCGCCGCCGGGGGGCCCAGCGCGGATCCAAGAGATCCGCGACGAGCGCCACGAGTTTATGTTTGTGCAGCGTCTTGCTCTGCGAGCGCGGCTGACCCTCGGCCCATCGGCGCGGGGCGCACAGGAAGGACGCGGACGATATCATGATGTAGAAGACGCGGACCTCCTCCGACGTCTGGCGCGGCGCGGCGCGAGCGGGCCGCTCGCGGCGACGAACGACACGCGGGGAAGTGGCGGGCAGCGGGAAGAGAGAAGGCCGCCGAGGCGCCATGGGAAAGGCGCCTTCCTCCTCCTCCTCCTCCTCCTCCTCCTCCTCCTCCTCTTCCTCCCGCTGTCCACAGTCCCATCAGCCTGCCCGCATGCCTGCTTCGTCCCGCAGGCCCTGGCCTCCCGCCTGCGCGTTCGCCGTCGTCTGCTGGCTTCTCGTTCCCTTTCTCCCTCCCCGTCGCCGCGCTGCACACGACTGCCAGGAGCCGGCGGCTGAACGAGACTGCCGTTCTGGGCCCTCGCAAGTGCTGCGAGCCTTCCCCCCATCCCCACGGCCCAAGCTGAGCTGTAGGCAGCGGAGGCAGGAGGGAACGGGGGCAGGAGGGAGCAGAGGAAGAGGACTGAGGTGTCGGTGGACTGAGGTGGCCAGACGACGCGCCGATCAACGGCCAGAAGGACGGCCTTACGACATTTGGGCCCCGACACGGTGCGCCAGGACTCGCCGCACGGTCCGTCGCCGCAGTCTTGGAACCCTGGATCCAGCCTGGAAGTCCCCGTCGCCCGAGACGTCCTCGAAGAACGACTCGAATACCAAAACAGTGCGGTCACCCACTCCTCACTGACTCACCGCACGGTGTGGTCACCGCACCCTTTTCGGGGCCCCGAACAGAGGAGGCGTGGCCAGACGAGGGTCCGACATATGTCAAAGAAGGACGGCCCTGCGACAGCCAGGCGGTCGTGCAGGTGCCAGGGATACACCTTGTAACCTCATCTAAATTCCTGACCTCCTAATCACCATGTGTGACACGTGAGCGGGACGGCTCGAGGAGGGGGAAGGCGGGCGACGACGACGACGAAACTCAAAAGGTAGGACTGAGGGGAGGATTGAAGAAAGACGACCTCCTCGCTCCTTGACTTGGCCTCTCGGCGCCCTGACCTGGCTCCCGGTCCGTCACAGAACGAGTCAGGATGAACTGCTGATCCCCATGAGCGGATCCAGACGTCCAGGGGGCCACGTTGTGAAACAGTATGGTCTCGACTCTCTGGGGGAAAAAGCTGAGACTCTTCCTGATACTCTCTCTCTCTCTCTCTCTCCGAGGAGGGAAGTCCTGGGAAGGTGCGACTGGGCGATGTGCGGGGCCGCCACCACTTGCGGACATCATGGGCGAATCAACGAAACAACAACTGCATAAACATAAACTGTTGGTGCTCCGCGCGGATTTCTTGGATCTGCGCTGGACCCCGCTCCCTGGCACGAGGAGCGCGCCAGGGGCGTCCAGAGGCGCCTTCGGGGGGGGCCCAGCGCGGATCCAAGAGATCCGCGCGGAGCGCCAAAAACTTATGGTTGTGCCGTGTTTCCTCTTCGATACGAGGCCTGGCTCCCACCTGGAGCTCGAGGCCGCCGCGCTGCGCCCCGCAGGCCGTCAGGGTCTGGAATGCTCCGCCCGCGCCGTCCCCTCCGAGGGCCGCCCCTTCCCTTGCCATTTACGGAGGGACAACGATCAAGAGGGGGGGACACCTTGCATGGGGGGGGGGCATCGACCCGGAATCGGCGACACATCGCCCCTGCCGCGTCCTTCCAAAAACCCATGGGGAACCCTGGGGAATCCAAAGGGGGCTTTGTTTACGAGGGGGGGGGAGCGGCAGTCGACGACGACCGCAGCAACGAGACGATGACGAAGGCAACTTAGACGATGCTGATGATGATGCTGCTGATGATGATGACGATGACGATGATGATGATGATGATAATGATGATGCTGCTGCTGCTGATGATGACGAAGACGACGAATACGACGACGACGACGACGATCGTCGTCGACGTCGTCGGCGTCGTGGTCGATAATGTTTTATGATCCCCCGAACCCAATGCCTCCCACCCGCAACCCGATGATGCTACGTTGCGCCCCGCGGGCCGCCAAAGTCTGGGATGCTCCGCCCGCGCCGTCCCCTCCGAGGGCCGCCCCTTCCCTTGCCCTTGTACGGAGGGGCAGCGATAGGGGCGGGGGGGACTGGCTTGGGGGGGGGCCTCCTCCTCCTTATCCTGCTCTTGTTCCTCCTCCTTTTTCCTGAGCTCCACGCGCCCCAAAGACCTCACAGAGAGGACCAGACGCCCACCTGCCAAGGGGACGAGCAGGGGGCCTGCTCCTCCTCCTCCTGCTCCTCCTCCTCCTCCTCCTTTTTGAATTGCCCAGGCGTGAAGCGCCGCGTGTCGCGTTCCTCTCCTCCTCCTCCTCCTGCTCCTGGGCATCGGCCCAGATTCGGCGACGCGTTGCCGACCGATCGGCGCTGGGTCCCCGAGGGCGAGTCCGCACGCTCCTGGGCGGGGGCGGTTCATCGGGTACAGTCGGGGGGTTGATCTAAGGAGCCCTAAATAAGGAACGAGGCCCCTCTTTCCCATCAGTTCAACTCCGGTGTCCCATGGAAAGCCCCAGGAAAACCCAAGGAGCACTGTAAAGCAACTAAGGAACACGGAGCCCCATCCCCAACAAAAAGGGTTCCTTCTTCAGGGCCCCGACTGTACATATTATGAGCGAGCAACTGACTACCCTGCACCGCGCTTGGCCACCTCCACTGCTCGCGCAAACATCATGCCCACCCACACCCGCAGCTTGGTTTGCACAATCTCTTAAGACCGTGACGGTGGGTACCAAATGGCACTTGGCAACGACAGCGACGCCGACGACGACAGCGACAACGACGACAACGACGCCGCCGCCGACAACGACTACGACGACACCGACGACGACTCCAACGACTTCGACGACGCCGACAACGACGACGACGACACCGACGGCGACGACGACGCCGACGCCGACGCCGACGCCGACGACGACAACGACGACGACGATGACGACGCCGACGACGACGACACCGACGCCGACGACGACGATGACAACGACGACGACGACGACGACGACGACGACGACGGCGGCGACGACGACGACGCCGACGTCGACGACGACTAAGACGACGACGACGCCGACGCCGACGCCGACGACGAAGACGACGACGACGTCGCCAACAAAGACGACGACGAGGGAGGAGGGAGGACGACGACGGCGACAACGGCGACAACGACGACAACGAGGGAGGAGGGAGGACGGCGACGACGCGAACGACGAAGACGAAGGAAGGACGGCGACGCTGACGACGACAACGACGAGGGAGGAGGGAAGACGACGACGACGACGACGACGACGACGACGACGGCGACGAAATAGGAGGGACGACGACGAGACGCCGACGAAGGACGACGACGACGACGACGAGGGAGGAGGAGGAAGGACGACCACGGCGACAACGACGACGGAAACGACCACGACGCCAAAGAGGACGACGACGACGAACACGAGGAACGACAGAGGACGACGTAGGCGACGCCGACGACGACGCGGGAGGAGGGAGGACGGCGGCGACGTCGACGACGCAAAAGCGCGCGCGCACGCTTTTGTTGAAAATCCGTGTTGCGAAACCTGGTGTTTTTGTAAGTTTTTGGGACACGCGATTTTGAAATCCTTCCGTAACCGAAGGGTTTTGAAGGATTCCGGCATACGCGCGCGACAACGCGCGCGTCTGCACTTCGTCTCATCTTTCGCAGAGGATTCTCGCGACGGCACACGCGCAAGGGCTTTCGACAGATGTCGACATGCGCGCGCGAAGCCCGTTTGGTAGCATTTTGTGAAAATCTTGAACAACCTATGGTTTGCTTAAGATTTCGCGAGAGCTCGCGCGTAAGCTTTTCTAGCACATCTGTGTTGCGAAACCCTGTGATTTTGTATGTTTTTTTGGAAACTCGATTGAGAAATCCTTCCGACACATAAGGTCTTTGAATGATTTCGGCATGCGCGCGCGACGACGCGCGCGTGTGCACTTCGTCCTATTTTTTGCAAGGGATTCGTGAAACAGTGTTATGTTAGAACAAACGATGCCCCCGCGCATCGTTTCTTACAAGGGAACCTCAGGGAGGCCGATCCCGGCCCCTCTGGGATAGTGTAAATTCATATTTCGGATGGACGTGTGTTGATAATCGTAAATGATTTACATACCCGAAAGTGGGCAGATAACGCCGGGGGGGGGGAGAGTTTATTTTCTGTTAAAAAACGAAAATGAACGATTGCAGGTCGATGCTCTCCCCTCTATGCCCGATCCTCCTGTGCGAAGAATGAACGATTGGGTGTCGATGCGCTCCCCACGATGCTTAATCCCCCTCTCCTTGCCCCTGATTTGCCCCCCCCCATGGTGTGCGACTTCGCCGAATGGCATCGCATCGTTGGCTCACGCGTGCCGCGGGGCCGCCGGCGCCCCGCCACAGAACGTGTTTTTCTGCTCTGGGAAGGGCGGAGGACATGCAACGACGGAAGCTGTCCAATGGCAACACGTCGTGACCACCCGTCAAAGATCGGGGAATCGTGAGACTCGGGTTACGGGGACTCGGGCTGGCCCGTCCGAAATTTGACGCGGGCTCCCGCTGCACACAGCCTTTGGATTATGAAATCTGGGCCGTCAAAACCCAGGACGTGCTCCGCAAAAGCGTTGGCAAGCCCGAGTTCTGGCGTACTCGAGTCTTACGCTTCCCAGGAAGGAGCTGGGCTGCTGCACGGTAAGCTCACCGCCACTTTTGTTCGAAACCAGCTGCGGCCCCATCGTCGCCTTGGGCTTGTCTGGCGTGGGCGCTCGCTGCGCGCGCTGCTCTCGAGGAAGCCAGCCCGTGCTGCTGTCCTCAGAGTTGTTGCTGCCGTCGTTGTCGCTGCTGCGGCTGCTGCCGTTGGAGAGCTGCTTTCGGGCACTGCGTTCTCCAGGCTGGTCTTCCCCGCGCGCGAGGCTGCCTGTTGGAGGGCTCGCTTGGCCGTCGTCCGCGGGCGAGTGGGGTGGCAACGTGTGCGTCACGCTTGTGCCAACTGTAATCCTGATCATCTTTCGCTCCGTCCTGTGTACCGTAGTGGGCATGGCTTTGGTGAGAACCCGCGACTCTTGCAGAACGGTAGGCCCTCGAGTCCCACTCAAGAGTCGCAAGCGGCTTGCAAGAGGGCATTGTTTGCACGCCATTTCGTGCCTCAGCTGGTTGAATCTGCTCCGCCCAAAAGCAACTATTGTGTCGCGGTTGGTGGCAAGAGTTGGACGAGGGAGGAGCGAGGAACGGAACAGGGATGAGGCGATACGCAGCAGCGGGGGAGAAGAGCGGGCCTCGCCTTGTGTGCCCTTCGTGAACAAGGAGCCACGTGCACCCTCTACCCCCAACCAGTCAAACTCCCCTGCCATAAACCTGGTCCTCGCTGATCGCGCCGCCCTTGCTGGACTTGCCTGCCGGTCTCACCTCCCCCCCGCCTCCCACTCACTCCCCTCCTCCTCCTCCTCCTCCTTCCTCCCTCCTCCCTCCTCCCTCCTCCCTCCTCCTCCTCCTCCTCCTCCTCCTCCTCCTCCTCCTCCTCCTCCTCCCCCTCCCCCTCCTCCCTCCTCCTCCTCCTCCTCCTCCTCCTCCTCCTCCTCCTCCTCCTCCTCCTCCCCTCCTCCTCCTCCTCCTCCTCCTCCTCCTCCTCCTCCTCCTCCTCCTCCCTCCTCCTCCTCCCCCTCCTCCTCCTCCTCCTCCTCCTCCTCCTCCTCCTCCTCCTCCTCCCCTCCTCCTCCTCCTCCTCCTCCTCCTCCTCCTCCTCCCCCTCACTCTCCTCCTCCTCCTCCTACCCCTCCTCCTCATCCTCCTCCTTCCTCCACGCCCCGACGCGTGGCATCGCCCGCTCCCCCCCCCCCCCGAGGGCCTCGTGCTGATACGTCTCCCGCATGGAGCGCCACGCCTGGCAAGCGCGGCAGGGCGGCGGGCCACGAGGCTGCGCGTCGGCGGCCAGCGCGCCGAAGGGGCGGTGCCGAGGGCGGCTGAGGGGGCCCACCTCCTCTCGGGTCGGGCGAAAGGGGGGGATCGCAAAGGGGGAGGTTGAGAATCAGCTCACGTAGCTGATTTTCCCGGCGCCTCCCGGCGCCGGAGGCGGCCATGTATCGAGGAATGGGCCCCTCGGTGAGGCCGAAACCAGCTGCGTGCAGCAAATGTCGTACCCCCCCCCTTTCCCAATCCCCCCCTTTCGCCCGGCCCACCTCCTCCGTGTCTCGGGGGCATGGGGAGCGGCGGCGCGAAGGAGAGAGGACAGCAGATGGCCACAATCGGGGGCGCAGACATATGCATATTTTCGTGTGTGAAACACGATGGTGTACACATGAACATATATGTATATAAACAAAAATGTGTGTACATGTCCGTGTATCCATATCTATACACGTATATGTATACATCCACGACCGTGCCCCGAGGCACGAGTTGGAGTGTACTCAGGTCCCTGCGAGCTCTGCGCATGAAGACAGGTGAATGTTCTTTGAGGGGCCCACAACCAAAAAAATCGGGCGCTCATGGACGATACCAAAGGTTCCCCGCACGATTTTTCTGGAGGCCAACAGTGCGTTGTTTGAACCGTCCTGTAGCCCTCTTGGGCGCCTCCTGGGCCGTCTTGGAGGCCAACATCGTTTAAACCCGTTGTTTTGTTGCATAGTTTGAGCATTACCACCTGTTTTGGCCCCAGAGCGTCCGAAGACGATCCAACAAACACTCAAGATCGCCCAAACACGGCCCAAGAGCCCCCAAGAGAGGCCCATGAGGCCAGCAAGACAGCCCCAAGAGGGAGAATGCGACCTGACATTTTGAGCACTCCGCCCCAAGATGGCTCCGAGATCCTCCAAGAGGGCCCCAAGGTGCCCTCAAGAGGCCCAAATCAGGCCCCAAGAGGCCCCCTAAGAGGCCCCCGAATCGCCCCAAAACCTCACCCCAACCGCCTCAAAGAAGCTTCCGAGTAGTCTCCCAATGGATCCTCACACCTCTGACCGACATCCCAGGCACGATGGCGGGATGGGCCAAAGGTCACTATATCCGCCGCCACACGGGTGTCTGGCGTGCTGGACATCTGTGTGGTTTGTTGTTCTTTTAGATAACCTATTGGGGCTTCGGCCCAGCCCGCGGGCCAACCGGAAGGCCGAGCCAGCCTTTCGATGGCCCAAGAGGCCTCCGACATGGCACAAGGATGGCCAAAGAGGCCTTCAACACAACCAAGATGGCATCAAAGACGACCCTGACGCGCCCCAAGACGGTCCAGAGAGGCTCCCAAGACGGCTTCCGACGTCGTCAGACGGGCCAAGAACACCATAAGACGGCCAAAGAGGCCCCCAGAAGCACTCAAAGGCCCCCAAGAGGCACCAAGAGACCCCAGAGGCCCCCAGGAGGCCACAAGAGGCCCCCACGAGGCCCCAAGAGGCCCCCGAGAGGCCCCCAAACAACCCCCAGTGACCTCAACACTGCCTCCAGGAGGCCCCCAAGAGGTCTCGACGAAATCCAAACGAATATCCAAGAGGCCTCAATCCCACAACCCAGGCACGATGGCGGGACGGGCCGAAGCCCATAACATCTTGCCACAAGGATGCCTGGCGTGCTGAACCCTCTCGGTTTTGGTTTTTGGTTCTTTCTCCAGAAAAGAACTCCCCCTGGGGCTTCGGCCCGTCCAGCCGGCCACCCGGAAAAATTGCCCAGACCCGGCTCCAAAGGATGTTTCCTGTCCAGACGGCTCCAAGACGCTGAGATGGCCTCCAGATGGCCTAAGAAGGCCCAAGAGGCCCCCAAGAGGCTTCCAAGACGGCCCCAAAGGCCTCAAATCTGCCGCCCCCTGTTGATTCATCACAGGGGTGCCGTGCGTGCTGGATGCTCTCGGTTTTGGTTTTTTTTCCCAAAGAGATCCCTCTGGGGCTTCGGCCCGTCCCGCCAGCTGCCTGCCTCGTCGGCTTCTTCGCTCAAGATGGCCCAAGATGGCCTCCAAGATGCCTCCAAGACGGCCCAAATGGCCTCCAAGACAGCTAAGATGGCCTCAAGACGCCTCCAAGACGGCCCAAGATGCACCCAAGACGGCCTAAGATAGCTTCAAGATGGCTCAAGACAACCTAAGAGGCCTCCAAGAGGCCTCCAAGAGGCCTCCAAGACGGCTAAAGAGGCCTCGAAGAGGTCCTCCAGAAAGGCCCGAAGAGGCCAAAATCATTGATTTCCGAAGGTTGTTGAATGATTCTTGCATTTGTTTCCTTTCGGCCTTCCGACGGCCCGAGACAGCCCAAGAGCCTCCAAAGATCGCCCCAAGATCGCCCAAGAGGCCGCCAAAATGGCCCCAGAACGATCCAAGAGGCCCACCAAACCGCCCCAGGCGGGCCTCCAAGACGGCCCTGGATCACGCCAAAAGGGCCCCCAGTCGGCCCAGAGAGGCCCCCAAAATGCTTCCAAGACGGCCCAAGATGCACCCAAGACGGTCCAAGATGGCCTCAAGATGGCCCATGACGGTCCTAGAGGCTCCCAGGAGGCCTCTAAGACGGCCCAAGAGGCCTCCAAGGCGGCCCAAGAGGCCTCCAAGGGCCGCAATCATTGATTTTCCCAAGGTTTTTGAAGGATTTCGGCATTTGCTTCTTTTCGGCCTTCCGACGGCCGGAGACGACCCAAGAGACCCGAAAGATCGCTCAAGGGGCCTCTTGGACGGCCCCAGAACGGCCTACGAGGCCCCAAAGACGGCCCCACGAGAGCCCCCAGACGGCCCAAGAGGCCTTCAAGTCAGCCCAGGGAGGTCCCCGAGATGGCTTCCGGCAGAATCGGACGTACCAGGAATGCTCTGAGACGGCCAGAGAGGCCCCCGAGCAGCACCCAACTGCCCCCAACAGGCCCAACGAGACCTCCATAATGCCTCCAAGAGGCCCCCAGGAAGCTCACAGGAGGCCCCAAGAGTGCTCCCAGAGGCTCCCGAGATGCCCCTTCCTTCTCCTCCTCCTCCTCCACCTCCTCCTCCTCCTCCTCCTCCTTTTCCTCCTCCTTCTGACTCCTCCCTCCTCCCTCCTCCCTCCTCCCTCCTCCCTCCTCCCTCTGCTCTCCTCCTCCTCCTCCTCCTCCTCTTCCTCCTCCTCCTCGTTCTTCTCCTCCTCCCCATCCTTCTCCTCACCCTCCTCCTCATGATCTCCCCCGCCATCCTCCCCCAAGTGTTCCCCGAAGGGTTTGCACAACGGTTGCGGGAACACATGGTCCGATAGCGTGGCAGAGCTCTTGCCACAACGCTAGGACACATGGGTGATTTCAAACCTGTTGCTCCCCCACGCGTCCCCCGAAGGCTTTCCAAACCAAGGAGAAATAACTGGTCCGATAGCAGGGCAAAGCTGTAGCCCAGCCTTCGGCCACATAGGCGCTTCCCTCAGGGCCGCGGGTGGCAGTGATTCGCTGTAGGCGTCTTTCATATCTTCCTGTGCTCTCACAAGGCGAACTGTGATGGGCGAATTTGGTTCGACTCCTCTTCCCGCCTCTCCCCTCTCCCATCTTTCCCGCCCCACCACTCGCCCAGGCGACGGGGGCGCCCCCGGAGGCCCCAAAAATGGGCACGAATGACGCTCAGAGATTTCGAACCTGGAACCTCGATCCGCGACCCGCGACGACGACGACGACAACGACGTACGACGACGGGCGACGACGCACGACGACGACGACGACGCACGACGAACGCCGACGACGCAGGCAGTGGCGCGCCTCCGCGAAGAGAATCAAGTTGAGCAGTAATATGATCATCCCCGGCCTCGGGTCAGGGAGCCCCGAAATGACGTACGCGCTTGGCCACGTTCGCATGAATGTGCCCCGTCCCCGTTTCGCGCGGCCGCCTTCATACCACAAACGCTCGCGTTACACGCTCTTGGAAAGCCCATGCGAGGTCATGTGCGCGTGCGACACTGTTCCGCTCCTGCTCGTTGGAATGAAATCTGCCGCCACCTTGGGGACTACGGCGTGTGATTCTGGTCCGAACACCTCTACCGGGACACCTCTCCTGGGAGCTCCGTCCGGTCCGTTTTGGAGGGTGTGTGTGTGTGTGTGTGTGTGGGTGTGTGGGTGTGTGTGGGTGGGGGGGGGGGGGGCAAAAACTGCCGGCGTCCCCGACCGCCTCAGAGATGCTCCTGGACGGCCCCCGACGGCTTCGAAGTGGCTCCCAGGATTCCTAGACAATCCCTGATGGCACCCAGTCGCCCTGAAACGGTTTCAAGATAGCCCCCGAAGCGTTGAAGGCGCCACCCGATGGCTCCAAGACGACCACACGTGACGAATGTTTCTTTCGCCCTGGTTGGGCCAGATGGCTATGGAATGCAATGTGCTGTGCTACTCGTATCCTACCCTGCTCTGCTCTACTCCGCTCTACTCTGCTCTACCTCGGGGCATTAAGATACATCAAGTGCGTTATGAGCCCCGACACCACCTCTCACGGTCGCCACCAAAGCCTCGCTTGGTGCGGCCGTGCTTTCTCAGGTAGTGGAGCGCGCGATCAACGGCGGGACTACCCGCGCGGTGGTCTCCACGGGCGTGCTTTCGCGCCCTCGTAGGCGGAGATACCCACACTACGCGTAGCACGGCGGAACTTCCCGCTTCACCTTTCCGGCGCGGTGCTCCCCGCAGCCGCTGACCCAAGCCATCCGGCTACGGTGCCGTGGACCTTATGCATCCCTCGCCGCGTCCATGGCGAGCTTGCTCTGGCCGCTCCGGGACTCGAAGCCGAGGTCGGCCAGATGTCGCCACATCATCTTCCCGTCGACGTGCTTCGTGGTGAGGTTGGCTGGGTTGCTCTCGCCCTTCGTCTTCACGACGCTAAGTCGTTTCTCGGACACTGCTCGCTGTAGCCGCAGTGCCTGCGTGTGCAGATGGCGAGTCTTGCCAATGCCACGCCTGGAGGCGATACCAATACCTGCGGACGCGTCTGCTCGGAGCTCTCCACTGTAGGCCATGCCGTAGTCCTTGGCCATGAGTGTCATGTCCACAAGAAGTGAACCTGCTTTGAACACGCCGTAGTACTCCGACTCCCTGCTGGAGGTGGCAATGGGCTTCTGCGTCGTAGAATACGCTGCCAACGTGTGGCTGCCGTGCGTAGTCACACCAGCGGATGTTGACCTCCGAGTGACTTTACACCCGGCGTGGTCGGTGTCGGTATACTGCACCAACTTGCTCTGCTCCGGCTGCCGTTGGAACACCTGCGCGACCCGCGGCGCCGACGCGAGATGCTGAGCGATCCTTTGGATATTCTCCATCGCGCTTCGCTCTGGGTTCTGCGTTGCCCTTGCTGCCTCCTTGGCAGGGCGCAACATCCCGTCGATCTATTGCTTGGCGCGCTGTCCTCATGGTGACTGAACGGAACAAGGTCGCTGCATCTTTGTCGAGAACTGGACCGTCTTTGGGTCCAGCATGGCAACGGCCGCGCCTGGAGCCACCACCCCTTTGAAATTCCTCCGGAAACCCACGTGCGCGATCGCGATCTGCGCGCGCCTTGGGTCGCACTCCCACTCAAGACAGCCCCTCGACGCATCGAGCCGAATGATGCGATTCAAGCATCGGACTTCCTTGTCGTCGTGGACTCCTGGGCCCAGCAAGCCAGACTTCTTAATCTTGATGCGCAGCCGTATCTGTTCCTCCCCCCATAAGACATCTGCGCGCGAACCGAGAAAAACGAAATCATCTCCGCGCACCCATGCCCTCACGCGGCGCTTACCGTGAAGAAACAAGCATGGGCTACTCAAGCCCTATGTAAAACCAAAACGTTCGACCAACACGCTGCGGTAGAAAAGCTCCCAGTTGTACTCTGCTCGAAGGGTTCCATACATGCTCTTCAACAGGCGCCAGCACCACCCTGGTCGGTGCCGTCCTGGCGGCGCGTCAACAGAGATCGACTCATCTGTTGGACTGTGAAAATGGGCGCGTGTAGCATCCATGAACAGTGACACCGTGTCCCCGCGCGTCTGCGCCTCCGCGTCGTGTCCAGGCGCGGTCGCCCTCAAAGAACACAGGAAACGCAGCGCCTCTAAAGGCGGCGTGGCTGCGAATGCCCCCTCCTTTCCACGATCCTTCACCTTGAGTTCTTCAGCGGAAGAGGCGGCCCCTGTAGTTGGGGTTGTTATGGTCCCCTTTGTTGGCGTCAGCCCAACGAACTCCGATCGGAATATTTCCTGTTGCCTGCAACGCCTTCTCTATGCGAGCCCAAGCGTATACCTTGAAGTCAACAACTTCGCTCACATCGGCCTCGTGGGCCTTCTCAACGAGCACTGGGTCATGGGCGCGCCCAGACGTCGTCGACATGCAGGTTTCCCGCATGATCCGACCAATCAACCATCGAACGGTGTTCGTGCGAGTCCTCCTCCGGCTCCAGGGGGCAAGCGAAGAGAGGCTTCCTCCTTCTGTCTGCTGCGAGCTGCGCCTCGAGGCCTTGGACAACAGCGGTGCCGACCCACTCTCCTGGGAGATGTGATGCCGCGCGGCCGGCCAGCCCCTCTCCGTTGGACAGCGGCCACAAACCTTTCGCCCCAAGATGCACGGCGTCCTGTCGCAGAACATCCTGCGCGCCACTCAACGCCCAGACGGCGTTGTCAAAGTCGGGCTGCAATGCCCCCCCCCCCCCCCCCCCGCCTGTAGATCGCAAAACATTCCTGGATAGGATGGAGAGGCTTGGAGGGGTAGAAAGGCGAACCAACAACGAGGTCTGGATTCCCCTCCTCAATTATCCATGACACTTTCCGTTGCTTCGTTGGCTCGCTGCAATCCCAAGGCTGCCTGTCGTCTGGGTCCGCTCTCCGAATGTCGAACGCGCGGCCCCCTGTGCAACCTAACCGCTCCGAGGTGGTGCGTCCGGTTGTTGCGCGCGTCGCCTCGAAAGCGCCCAGCCCCCGCAAGGCTGCGCTGAAGAAGTCCACCTCAGCCTCCGTCTCGACGTCTCGGCCATCCGTTTCGGCCTCGCACCCTCCATGGGCACGCCGTCGCCCCTCGGGCCGATGGCAGGGGCGGTGCTACCCGCATCTACTGTCGTAGGTGCGCTCGCTTGCGGCATGTCGGCGTCTGCCGGCTGGGCCCCAGAAGCGGAGGCGGAACTCCCCGCGCCCCCTGCTCCCGGCCCCGATGCCGCGGCAAGCGCGGCGCCACCCGCAACCCTGCCGCCCTGCGGTCCTGCGCCTGCAGGGGCGGGACTTCCCGCGCCCTGTCTGAGCGCCCGCGGGGCCCCCACCTCCTGTCTCTGGAGGTGGTCGGCTATAGGGCTCCCGCGATCCTCTCGCCCGCCCCTCTCGGGCGTTTTTTTGTTTGTTTGTTTTTTTGGTGATATATATATATATAAATATATATATATATATATATATATATATGTGTATATATATATATATATGTTTATATATATATATATATATATCATTGGTCGGTCTTCCCGATCGCATCCTCAAGCCGCTTCCTACAACCTTCGGCGTGGTGTCGCTTTGTCCTCCGACCGCGCATATCCGCCTAGCACCGTGGGGGCCCTCGCGTCCAAACGTGCCTCCTGAAGTCATACTTGGTGATGTGCAACCGCTTTTTCGAAATGACCTTTGGCTCATGTCACTAAGGATCTGGCGGTGCCATCGAGGGCTCTGGGATGTCGATCACCGCCAGCCCGGAGGACTCTGGCCGCGATGGCGAAACTTCCCCTGGGACAAGATCCAGCGGCGCCCCCTTCACAGCCAGCAGCGCTTCCGCATCGCAGCGCGCGCTGGGCGGGTCGGCGGATGCCGGCCAACCTGCCCGCTCCATCCTTCGTGCCGATATAGAACTCAGGGACATCGTCTCTGCGTCCCAGGAAGACCCCTCCAACCGCTTGGGGTACGTTTGTTGGGGCGACCGCCGTCGCACCGCAGTCTCCTGTAGAAGACTTTCTCACCGAAGCTTGGGAGATCAAACTTGACACGCTTTCCTTTGGCACGCTCGCATGGCGTCCTGCCGTCGGCCCCCTGCTCGTGCCGCGGCAGCGAGAAGCCGGCGAACTGCGCCAGCCAGTGTAACATGTCCGACTGTGGATCGAGCGTGATTTTGAAGGCCCTGTCCGTTGACGCCTCCAGGGTTCTCGCCGTCCCAGAGATGGATTGCATCGCCTCTCAATCGTGCCATTACTTTGAAACTCCCCTACCTCAGAAGGCTCAGGGGCGACCTCAAATTCAGTACCAGGCAGAGCAATCACGCCTTCCTTCATCGCAACAATTGGGTTCTCCTGGTCTGACTTGTAGATGAACTCCCCCCCCCCCGCAGTTCCTGATGTCGCGGGCCTCCTGTCTGACTGCAGCCTCGAGGAACCCCTGCTGGGGGACCGCCCGCGCAGTCTTGAGGCGGGTCTTGTGATCTACCTTCGCCGGGCGTGCGAGCGCCCGTTGGTCGGGGCCGCCCAAAAAGAAATAGTCTGTGGATATCGCCGGCGTCGCGTGCTCTAGCTCCGCTGCAAAGTCGGCGCGGGCAGTCGCCGCGCCGCGCCCCTTCGCGCAGCCTGGGCGCCCAAACCGGAACGGCAGGTGCTGCGAAGCATCGTGTTCTCCTGCCTCTCGGCGTTGGGTCACTCGGCGACCTCATAGGGGCACAGACTTTGCCGCTGAACTCCTCCTCAACCGGGACCTCTGCTCCCGGAAGGGCCTGTTCAGGCGGCCCCTGGGTGGGCCCATGGGGTCGCCTCCGCTGTCCTGGGCGCCGCCTCCGGCGCTCTCCTGGAGGGCGGGTCTGCCCGCGCCTCTTGCTGCGGCCCCTTCGTAGGGGCCACTTCTGGTGTCGTGGGCCACGATGCCCGAGCCGAGGGGGGTGCTTCCCGCGCGAGCTGGCAATATCTCAATCGGTATAGTACGTGAACCAGTGCGAAAACAAGGTGCATCAAGGGCTGTTTGCCCTGCTGTTGGCGGCGAAACGATCGCCGACGGTCTTGCGGCTGGGCCGTCTGGAAGAAACCCATCGATTCAGCTACTTTCGATTCGAGTGCGTTCCCCGTGGGCACCCGCGCGCCCCTGGCGGCCTTCAGCTTCTGGAGCGCCGCGATCAGATGGTCGATCTCCATCGGGGCTGTGGTAGTTCCAACGCCCTGCTGTTGAGGCGTGCTGCGCTTCTTTACCCGCAGCCTCATGAGGAAGATCCCGTTGGCTCGGCTCAGGGAAGTCCTCTGTTTCGCGCCGATGTGCTCCGCGCTGACAGCTCGAGACTGTTCTTGGAAATCCTTCATCTCCCCTCAGCTTGCTGAAGCGCTCCTGGAACTCTGTCGTCCGAGGAACGCTCCGGAGACGGCAGCCCTCCGTCGGCTGCCTCTCGGTGGCGGCGGGGCTGCCCGCGCGGCCACGCTTGCCGGCGGCGCCGGCTCTGGCGGCGGGGCGGCCCGCGCGCCAAGGCGGGGTCGGGTTCCTGTCCCGAGCCGGCCCCGCGCGCCAGGGCGGGGCGGGGCTCCGGTCCCGAGCTGGCCCCTTCTTCCCACCACAGGCGGAGCTGCCCGCCCCGTGGCCTGGCCGCTCTCTTGGAGGAGGCGCCGGAAACGGGATGCCTACGCGGCGCGCCTGGCCGCGTGACTCCCGCCAGCGCTGGGTATCAGATTGGCGCCGGCCACGGTGCGTAGGCATGAGCCGCTCACGCTGCCATGACGAATGTTTTTTCTCCCTGGTTGGACCAGGTGGCTATGGGGTGCGTCAGGTGCGCCCAGCGCGCCAGGTGCGCCAAAGGGACAGGGAGGCCTCAAAGTGGTCACGAAAGTGGCGACAATGGCGCAGATCGCAGCCCCGCATGGGACAGGGAGGCCTCAAAATGGCTTGCGTAAGACGTACCTCGGCTGGGCCTCCCAGGAACCCACGAACGTGGCGACAGTTGCGCAAATCGCAGCCCCGCAGGGGACAGGGAGGCCTCAAAGTGATCTGCGTGGGACACCTCCGCTGGGCCTCCCAGGAACCCACGAAAGTGGCGACAATGGCGCAGATCGCAGCCCCGCAGGGGACAGGGAGGCCTCAAAGTGATCTGCGTAGGACGTACCTCCGCTGGGCCTCCCAGGAACCCACGAAGTGGCGACAGTTGCGCAGATCGCAGCCCCGCAGGGCACCGCGAACACAGGAGAGAAGAAGGAGGAGAGGGCGGGAGGTGGATACCACAATGCTCTATTCAAAACGGGTACCCAACACAAGGAGGGTTGGGAATAAGCCTCGAGGAGGGCCCCAAGACGGCCCCAGACCGCCCCGGGACCGCACAGGAGACGCGAAGACAGCTCAATAGGACCCCAACACGGTCCCAAGAAGGATCAACAACTGCTTGGAAAAGAGCCCCAGACAATACAAAATGGCCCCCGAACGGCCCGCGAGGCGCCTCGGACAACACCCCTCCTCTTCCTCCTCCTCCTCCTCCTCTTCCTCCTCCTCCTCCTCCTCCTCCTTTTCCTCCTCGGACCCCGAGATAAGCCCCCAGGAAGCCCCAAAGAGCCCCTCGGAGGTTCCGAACGGCCCTCAAGCGGTCTCCGCCTCCAGGGGGGCGGGGACGGCCGCGAGAGGCGAGACGCCCCTCGCGAGCGCAGAAGAGCGGCCTGCTGTTGGCCTCCAGGAGAAGCTGAGAGCAGGCCGAGCACGGCCCAGGGCCACGCCCCGCAGCAAGCCTCGAAGAGCAGGGAACAGCAGGCCCTGCCAGGGCAAAAAGGCTGGGAGGGCGGCGGAGCACGGCCCGGGCCGCGCCCCGCAGCAGGCGCCGAGCAGCAGAACACACCAAAAAAATCCACAGCCAGAACCAATCTCAGCTGTGAGCTGGCTTCGTCGCTGGCGGCCACGAGCCCCGCAATCTGGCGAGCAGGTGCGAGGAGGCAACTTTGAACAGGGCACGCGCGAGAGCACCAGAGAGGGCCTGAGGGCACGGCTGAGCAGCAGGCGTCCAGAAGCGACCCCTGGGGGCTTTGCCTTCTGAAGCCTTGCAGCTGGTCCCTTCCTTCCGTACACTCCCGCTCGTGCCTCATGAGTCCAATCCAAATTTGCAGGCGACGATGGGCAACTCTACAGTGGAGGCCAATCCACAAGAGACCTCCCACGAGAAACCCAATCCTGAGAACCCAGGACGTCCGTTAATCTTTGGTATGAGAACGTCACGCTGTCCATCGCAAAACCATCGAAATCCAATAAACTCAGGGCACCCTGGAGGCAAGCATTAAGTCGGGCCTGTCCCCCTACAAACGGATTTTGGATGAAGAACGAAAACTAATATTAAAACAAAAACCCAAAATGGTAAAAACATAGTCCCCGACTATTTTTTAAACAATTTTTGAATACTCCTCCTGTAGAGGGACAGGCCCGACTTCAGGCAAGCAAGGTGCTTCCTGGCATAGGCCTCCACTGTACCAACCCAAACCGACTCTGCCGCCTCGGGCCCCCGCCCTGCTGCCGCGGACGGGCCCTAAGATTAAGTCGGGCGTGTCCCCCTACAGGGGGATTTTGGACGACAAATTAAAAAAATACCCCGAACATGCACACAAGATGCCGAAACATATTCAAAACATAATCCTCATGGTATTTTTGACTATTTTCGAATATCCCCCCTGTAGAGGGACAGGCCCGACTTGGCCCTAAGAGCGCGAGAACCGACGCGGGCACCCCAAAAAGAGCAGCGCCGACAGCGGCCCTGAGAGGACCTGGGGGCCCGACGGACCAGAGGTCGCGGACCACCTCGCTCCTCCTCCCACCTCCTCCTTCACAGAAGGGAAGAGCTGCACAGACATGCAGTGGAGGCCAGTCCACGAGAGACCTCCCACAAACAACACGACCTTGAGGCCCCAGGACGTCCACTGATTTTTTGGCGTGGCAGCGTCGTGCTTCCCACCACAGAACCATCGAAGCCCAGGGCACCCTGGAGGCAAGCAGGGTGCTTCTTGGCTTAGGTCGGGCCTGCCCCACTACAGGGGGATTTTGGACGAACAATTAAAGATACCCCAATAATATTAAAACATGCAAAACTACGCAAAACCTAGTCCCCTGACTATGCTTTTACTATCTTTGAACAGCCCCCCTGTCGAGGGAGAGGCCCGATCTCATTCTTGGCGTCGGCCTCCCGCTGTGCACTTCGGCCCGCGTGGGCTCCCTGGGCCGGCGCTGCGGAGGACGCCGCCCGGGGGCCCCCCCGCGCCGAGCCAAGAGGGCGGGGGGGGTCCCCCACGCCAGGGCCCCCCCCCACGCGCGGGGCGCGGAGAGGGAGCGGCTGCTGACTCTGAAGGGGGCCCCTGGGACACACGCGCCAGGAAAGAGGCGCAGATAGCAGGCTTCCCCATACTTTCCCCCCATATCTTCTGGTGCTCTGTCTTCCCCACACTTCCCATGTCTTCTGGGGCATCGACGATGAATTGTGTCTGTCTATTTCTCCCTCCTGATACTCGGCGTTTAGACTATGGGCGGAAGGCGGGGGGGGGAGTCTGGCTCCGAACCTCTGCTTAAATGCGACGGTTTGCAGAGGCGGTCGAGGGAGCCCGGCGCGCATGGGGGGGGGGGCGCGAGGGCCCGCGCCGATCGGCAAAACAAAAAGAGTCAGCAAACGATCGCAAGTCTGCATGGAGCGCCGAAAGTGAATCTTTATTGCTGGTTTTTGATCCTTCTAGGGCTCCCAACTTCGCGCTCTGCGAAGCGCGAATGACTTCGCGCTCTCGCGCCGCCCCCCCCAAAGGGAGAAAAGGAGAACGAGGAGGAGGGGGAGAAGGAACGAGGACCGCGAAGCTCGAATAACTTCGCGCCCTCGTGGGAACCCTTGTGGACGCAAGCAGGGCGCTTCTCGGCATGGGCCTCCACTCTACCAGCCCAAACCGACTCTGCCGCCTCGGGCCCCCGCCCTGCTGCCGCGGACCGCCCCTAAGATTAAGTTGGGCGTGTCCCCCGACAGGGAGATTTTGGACGGAAAATACAGAATAACCCCAAAATGCCCCAAAGATCCAGAACAATATTCAAAAATAATCCACAGACTATGGTTAACTATTTTCGAATATCCCCCCTGTAGAGGAACCCTAAGAGCGCGAGAAGCGACGGGGATGTTCGACGACAAATAAAACATACCCCAGAAGACATTCGCGAGGCGCGAAGCGCGACTAACCTCGCGCCCTCGTGGGAACCCTTGTCCTTTCTGTGTCCGCTTCCCTCCGCCCTCGGCGAGGGGAGGCGAGAGAGGCCGGCGGCCAGCTCTCGTAGAGGTAGACGGCGGTGCTCCAGTCGTGGAAATACTGCGCGTGGACCTCGCACCTCGGAGGTGCAGCCAACCCGTACAGGCAGGCTGCGCGAGAAGGATGCATCGGCGGTTGACAAACCTCCCCTCCTCCTCCTCCTCCTCCTCCTCCTCCTCCTCCTCCTCCTCCTCCTCCTCCTCCCTCCTCCCCTCCTCCTCCTCCTCCTCCTCCTCCTCCTCCTCCTCCTCCTCCTCCTCCTCCTCCTCCTCCTCCCCCTCCTCCCCCTCCTCCCCTCCTCCCCCTCCTCCCCCTCCTCCCCCTCCTCCCCCTCCTCCCCCTCTCCTCCTCCTCCCTCCTCCTCCCCCTCCTCCTCCTCCTCCTCCTCCTCTTTCCGCTTTCCGCTCCTCTGACGGCGGCCCCCGAGGGAACCACCGCAATCCGAACGCCTCCACTACGCGCCGAGGAAGCCACAGGACTGCCCACGCACTCCACGGCTCCCTACTCCGAAACCTCCCAGCGTATGTCCCGCCTCTCGCCCAAGACCTCATACAGCCCCCGAGCCCACCCGACGCGGCGGGGATGGAGAGGGGGCTGTACGGGGCTAGAGCGGGGGATGGGCCGCTTGGAGGAGGGGTCAAGCCCCTGCTTTAATTGACGCAAGGCCCGTGCTCGGCCGTCCGTGGGGTGTCCAGCACAGCGATCCGCAAGGGCCAAAATCTGCCGTCTGGCATACGCCCCGCACACACTGCACCACACCAGACCATCAGGACCTCCCGAGCACAAAAGCCTGTGAGACCAATGCGCCTGAGCCAGCTTCGCCATGACCCCAGGGCACCTGTCGTGCACCAGCCTAGCTCGAGTCGAGCAACTACGGCCACAACTCAAGCATAACCAGCGTCCTCCAGAATACTTCGCCTGATGCCCTTTGGGATCCGACACGAGCTCGAGCGGGTCGAAAGCACGACGGAGCCGAGGTTTGAGGGCATCGGGGAAAGAGGAGGCGGCGAGGTGCGCGAGAATCCTGCCTGAGTAGAGGGCAACGAAATAGGCCGACCACATCAACAGCGGCCTCAACTCCTCTACCTCCTCAGAAACAGGATGCAACCTCGCGCCTTTCTTGGCATAAACATCAGCAAGCTTATTAGCTCTGTAGTGAAGCCACGGGACCCCTTGCGCCTGTGCATGAGTCCAGGAGTCGTGGCTTCGCATCCAGTGCAAGTGAATCTGCTCAAGACCTATTTCGTCAATCTTAAACCAAATCTTGCACCACACTTCAGAATACACCTTCGTGGGACGGCAGCACGCTTCAGGCCCTGCCGCCACACCATCGATGAGAGACTTACAATCGGTGACGACCGTTACCTCGCCTACACAATTGCACAAACACATATAAAAGGCCCAGAGCTCTGCAGCTCCGATCTCCTGCAAGACTCCAGGATGAGGCCCAAATATGGCTCCTTCCGAGTTCCCATGGCGGTCAATCTTCACGCAAGACCAACCCGCCCTAGAAGCCAGAGGAAAAGTGGGCGACAAACAGGACCCGTCAATGCCAACGAGACCTGTGAGGGCCCCTCCCACCATGGGCCCGTCATACTCCACGAGCCCATCGAGCCTCGGGGGAGGTTGGAGGTCCAGCAAAGAGTCCACAAGGCCCCTGTGGAGGAGGGGATCATGATGCTCGCATTCTCTGCCAGCACGCGTGACATCGTCCAGGTCAAGCTCGCGTCTGACCGCAACACTGAATTCACATCTGAACAAACGATGCCCCTCGTCTCCTGGCTCCGCCTTGCAGACCTGACACAAGGGCGAGTCGACGGACCGTGCCGCGAAGAGGCGCGCCTGAGTCCAGAGCCCCCCAGAGACATGGGTTCCGAGGAGCTGCGCCGCCGTCTTGAAACCCTCACGTCGAAGCTGCTGCTGGGCCTGGCGGATAGGCTCCAGGAGAGGGGGTCCCCCCAGGTTTTCCAAACCAGGGGACCCAGGGAGGCACCGTAGGAGCGCAAGCTCCTCCTCCTCCTCCTCCTCCTCCTCCTCCTCCTCCCTCCTCCTCCTCCTCCTCCTCCCTCCTCCTCCTCCTCCTCCTCCTCCTCCTCCTCCTCCTCCTCCTCCTCCTCCTCCTCCTCCTCCTCCTCTCTCCTCCCTCCTCGATCCGCCCCGATATCCGCCTCCGGTCGAGGCTCGCCCAAGGCTCCGAGCCTCGCCCTCGGCCTCGGCGCGTCCTCCCCTTCGTGACAACGGCCTGGGACCGACACCGACGGACCCGGACATGCAAAAACGACGGCCGCGACGCCCTCGCGCGAAACCGAAGACGGCCAATGCCTTCATCGACGTCAGGGAGGTCTCCAGCTTTAGCTACACTCTGGGTTTCTTCATAAGCGTGGGGGGCACCCCCCCGACGGGGGTTCACATCGCCTCGTCGTCGCGCCGCGACGGGAGTCGGAGCGCCTTCGGCGCGCGGTGGCTGCCCGCGACGGGGGTCGACGCGGGCCCCTGCTCCGAATGCATGGGCCTTGGACGACCATTTCGAAGCTTTTCGAGCAGGGCGCGACCAACAAAAGTGGCCAAGGATGGACCGAGGAGGCAAGGATGTAAGGGTACCCTTGGGAATGTTGTCCATTCTTACTGAGTGGGTTGACTGTAATTGGCGACGCGCACGGGGGTGGGTGGGAGGGGGGGAGAATTCTTAGAAGGGGGCTGCTTCTTAGAAGGCGCCGGCCTTACACGTGTAGAGAAGGCCCGCGACTTCTAAGAAGCAGGGGTGCTTCCAAGAAAGCATCCCCCCTCCCCCTGCCCCTTTCTGCGCCTGGCCGAGGTAAGAACAAACACCAGACTGAAGCATATCGGGTGCGCCGCAGCGGGGGGCCTAGCGCTCCCATGGCCCGAGGCATGTGCGCGGACGAGGGGGGGCGGCAGGACACGCATTGAAAGAAGACGGTGACATCAAGTCTGAGAGCTAGCATGGCCCCGACCATTCGTGGACCTGCTGACCCAGGTCAATCCAGACCCGGGTCAATCAAGCCTAGCCGGATCCTGCAAGATGATGCAAGATCCTGCAGGATCCTGCACCCAAGCCCGGATCAGTGTAGCCCTGGCTCTGCAGGGTCCTGCAAGACCCAGCGCTGTGACTGAACCCCGTTTGCATGGACCCCCATCTCCTGAGCCCCGAGACCATGCTATCTGGCCGATGCTGGAAACCCCGAGCCCAACCATGTGAACGCTGCACTTTGACTTCCGCCGAGCTTCCGCCGGCGGACCCGCCCCCGCGTTGCTTCCTCCGAAGAGATGTCAACGTCTGGAAAGGCGAGGCCGACCGCAAAAAGCACGCCTCCACGCAGTTCGGTTCGACTGAATAATGTGCTGTGGCCCTTGTCGTTGCATCTCACGCCTCGTGCGGGAAGTCATGGCCGCCTGCGGAGCTTTTCCTTCGAGACAGAGGCCGGCACCACCCTTAGGAGACGAAACAATTTCATGACGTACGCTCACGGAGGTCCGCACGGATGAATTTCCCCAATCGGTGCTTGCACTGAAGGGGTCCTAGCGGAGGTTGAAAGATTTGGCGAACATTTCCCGCCGATGTTGGTGGCAAACTGGGTTCCTAGGTTCCCGATTCCGGGTTTCCGGGTTCCCGGTTGTTGGTTCTGGGCTGATTTCGGTGGATTCTGGGTTCCTGGGCTCCCAGGTTCCTGGTCGATCTCGTCAGCGAAAACCATCCACTGATTGGGGTGCTTCTCTGGTGTAATGCTCTTCAATAATCGAACCACCGAATCGTTGCCGATGGTGACCCTACTGGATTCCATTCTGGTCTGTGGCGCCTCGTCGCAGCCTATGAAGAGTTTCGTGCCGTTGCCCAGTGATGCGCTCACCGCTCTTGGCGCCGCCGTTTAAGATTTCGATCGCCTCTTACCCCGCTCCTGGACTTCACCGCGGCCTCTGGAACATCGTGCATAACAAATTAGCACGCACCCTGCCTTGCAGTGGTCCTACTCTGGCACCGACGCGCTGTCAGTTTGATGCTCGCCTCACTTACATGTATTATCTTTTCTCTTTCTCACATCAATGTTGCGGCGTCTGGCCGTTCGTCTCTCACTCTCCTGGTCAAACATACTAAATGTCACCAGTGCGGCCACTGGTCGTGGTTCCAATGGCTCCTCGCGACGTTGCGGCCTTCGGCCCCGCCACGCCCTCCTCCTGCACACCCGCTTCCTGTTCTGACTTCTGTTCTGATGTTCTGAGCGTCATCACACCTGCCCGCACCCTGAGGCGTTCCGCGAGCCGCTCCTGGTCTCTGCTTCCCCCCCGTCTGGATGATACCCGTAGCTGTTTGGTTCGTCTCGCCATCGTAAGACTTGGCGGTTGGACCGAGACTCGGCCAGTGGCGAACGATATTGCCCCGCGTTTGATGAAACATCCATTATCAATGTGCACGTGTGTGTGTGTGTGCGCTGTAGTCCAAGAGCAATTTGATTTCGTGAACATCCAACTCGACAAAACACCCCTTGACCCTAACCCCCCACCCCTCCATGTTCCGCACCCCCCCTCTTCTTCCTTGCCCGCCTCACCATTCTCAGAATACCTTCCTCGGTCCCTCTTCTTTTTGGCATGGCTGTGAGCAAGAAATACAAGGATGTTTCACGCGAGATGGACCAGACCAGCTCTCGCGTAGCATCTCGGAGACCAGAATTGAGAAGATGTCTCAGGCGAAGCAGGCCGGACAATCTCAGATCCAGTCGGTTCAGGACACACATCTGTGAGGATATCTCATGCGAAACGGGCCAATACACCTCAACAGTCTGACAATGTTTAGACGCGCGGGCCCCTCGGGCAGCTCTCGTTCTTACCACACCAACGCCCCCCAACACCGGACGGGCGACCCCGTAACGCTCCACAACAAAACCTTGGACGGCAACAAACAATAACCTCCCATATATCGGCCGATCCAGCGTGTGAGTTTAAGAAAGCTACAACCTGAGCTTCAGCTCTGCTGGGGGCAACCGGGGTGGCTCTGCCGAGGTAGGGGGGGGAGGGGGGGGGGGGGTTCATGGGGTCCACCCGTTCTTCCCCCCTTCCGGGAATCCC